CCCCAAAACCCCAAAACCCCAAAACCCCAAAACCCCAAAACCCCAAAACCCCATCTCTCCTGCATCTTAATTATAATTAATTTTCAAAAAGGCCTTAGTTGTCAAACAATGTCAAAGAAGTTCAGCGTGCAGCTAAAAATGAAGTCGCATATGATGGGGGATGAGCAAGTTCAGAAGTCACTTTCCATCATTAAAAATGCTATTGAAAAGATATATCAAGAAGAAGCTTCGACTCTTTCGTTTGAGGAGCTTTATAGAAACTCCTATACCCTCTCCATTAACAAGCATGGGAGAAGATTATACAAAGAAATCAGTGAGAGCATCAAAAGATGTATATCGTGCTATATAAGGTAAGATTCAAATCCCCTCTGTCTAACCCTTAATAGCTTGCTGATCGACGGAACTCTCGAGTCTGATTTCATGAAGAAATTTATTGAGCTATGGAACAAGCACGATACTGCTCTAAAGATGGTTCGTGACATCAACATGTATCTTGACAGAAACTTTGTAGTTAAGGAAAAACAGAAGGATATTTACACTATGGGTCACATCTTGTTCAAGAAGTACATACTCAGAGAGGAGAATGTGTACCAAAAATTCAGAAACTTCCTTCTAAGCCGCATTAATGAAGAGCGAAACGGCGAGAAAATTGAAAGAGATTTTCTCAGAGGTGCCATAAAGATCCTTATAGAGCTAGGTTTTGGCAGCAACAATGTTTATAAGAGAGACTTTGAGAAGTACTTCTTAGAGGAAAGCCACCAGTTTTACCATAATGAAGCCTCACAGAAGATAACGACCCATACAGCTTCAGAATATCTAGCTTGTGTACAGAAAAGGCTTGATGAAGAGCAGGAGAGATGTCTTGATTTCTTGATCGAAGAGACTAAGAAACCTTTACTCAAGAAAGTTCTGAATCCGATGATTGAGGAACACTGTCAGTCTATTATCAACAAGCAAGATTCTGGTCTTGGAACCATGATTAGACTCAGCCATTACCAGAACATTCACTTAATGTTTAAGATTTTCTCCCAAGTTCCTAAAGCAAGACAACTTTTTGAAAAATTTTTGGTTGAAAGAGTTAATGAAGACTGTGACCAAATAATATCGGATGGTAAAATTAGCCAGAGCCCGAAGGAATTCATTGAGAAATGAATAGAGACTAAACAGAAATACAATATAATAATCACCCAGTCTTGTGAGAAAGATAACGAGATTAACCTAGCGGTCAAGAATGCATTTGAGAATTGTCTAACCAGATTCCCACAGTCCTCGCTCTACCTCGCAAAGTATGCAGATCTCAAGATGCGGAAGGAAATCAAGACCTTAAAAGACGATGAAATCTCAACTCTGTTCGACAAAATTCTCGAGATCTTCAGACTTCTGACTGAAAAGGATGAGTTTGAAGGCTTTTATAGGAATAACCTCAGTAGGAGACTTCTCACGAACACCACTATAAACGAAGAGGCTGAGAAGATGATGATCTCTAAGCTCAAGGTAGAATGCGGGTTTCAGTACACCTCGAAGTTAGAAACAATGATGAAGGATATGACTATCTCTGATAACTTAAACCAGCAATTTAAGCACTCACCTATCTCTGATAACATTGGCATTGGGTTTAAGATTAAGGTGCTGACCTCAGGAAATTGGAGTAATGAGAGTCAGAAGACCTTATGAACTATCCCGAAGGAACTCTCAATTGCCATCAATAATTTCACTGATTTCTACATGAAGAATCATTCTGGAAGAATTCTGACATGGAAACTCAATCTTGGAAGTGCAGATATCATTGGAAAATTTGAAGAAAGAAACTACGAATTCAATGTTAGCTGCTACCAGATGGCTATTCTGATGCTGTTTAACACTGCTGAGAAACTCTCTGTGGAGCAAATAAAGTCGCTCACAAACATCACTCCGGAGTATGAGTTCAAGAGACATGTCCTCTCCATGATCAAAGTGAAAATTTTGTTAAAATAACAGTAAGGAATTCGATCTCAAAGATGAAGACCTGCTTAAGGTAAACGATAAGTTCAAAAACCGGCTGCACAGACTCAAAGTGCCACTTCTGAACCAAAAAGACAACCTTGAAAATGAGAAGAAGGAAGTTATTCCCAAGGTTGAAGATGATAGGAGACATCTGATCGAGGCCACTATTGTCAGAGTCATGAAAGCCAGGAAGAGATGTGACCATATCTCCCTTACTTCTGAAGTGATGAGGATCTTGTCCAGTATCTTCAGTCCTACAGCACTAATGATCAAGCAGAAAATAGAAGGGTTGATTGAGAAAGACTATATGTTCAGAGACCAAGATGACAGAAAGATCTATATTTACAAAGCTTAGTATTTCAATTGGCTAAATTAGAGTAGGGGTTTTGGGGTTTTGGGGTTTTGGGGTTTTGGGGTTTTGGGG